ACAGGTTATTTCATAGGTTTCGATCGTTGATAAGCCGCTACCCATTTAAGATGTGAGAGACTCACTCTCTGCCCTGTAACTTAGCGAGATCTTTGAAAGCATGAGGACATTCGTGTAAAATAACTATTCTTTTGGTGACCTATTTATCAGTTCTGATAATGTAAGAAAACTCCTTTTATCGAGAGTATTCTTGGGTATCCTCTAATATGTAATCAACCAAAGAGAAACATTCTTTTAAGGAGTGCTTTTGACTAAAAAAATGTTCTTTTTGGTTCTCTGGTTATGAGTAGCTTATGTATGGATTTTCTTTGTGAATTGTTTCGAGGTATTTCAATATGATCTTGTTCGAACATATACTCTTGACTTATCACACGAGGATTACCTTATACATAAGCTCTCCATATTTCTTTTTAAAACTTGTTTTCATATTTTTTTTGTTGAATATCTTGTTTTTCGAATCCTCTCCTCTTTGAATCATTTGCATGATCTGAGAGGTGAATTTATTCGAATAAGGAAATAATGCGACGACATATATATAGATAAGCTGATGACTCTGAGTTCCTTTAAAAATAACAAAAAAAATTGAACAAATTTCTTTTAAGATTTATTAAATCAAATAATATGATACGTTAGATGTCACATTGTTTTTCAATATACTACATCTAATTTTTCTTCTTTAGGTTCCATAAATAATTGTTTCACTTTTGAGATTTCCCATTTGATATTCTAATAATCAATTGTGGAAACTAACTTAGAAATTCCTTGAAGATAGAACCACAACCTTGATTAAGAGTTTTCTTAAGAAAATTTATTTGTTAAGATCCAATTACCTACAGAGGCATGCCCTTAGAGAAAGTTAACAACCCTAAATAATATAAATTATGTTTGATCTTTGAATTAAATTGAAGAAATATCTATTGGTTATAACGCAGACTATGCAAATTTCTAAAATTTCTTCATTTAAATAATTTAACCCATTATAAAGTGATATTTATATCTTTCGTGATTTTTGTTACTTTTGATGTTGTGTTCTATTATTTAAATGATTAAATATTCAAGATTTTTTTTGTTCTTTATTTTCCAAAATAACAAAAATAAAACCAACCAAAGTTGAGCTATTTGATCCCAAAACTTAGAAGAATCAATCCATTATGCTTTATTGGTAGAAAACCAAAAGAAATTCACTAATCTTTCAATTCAAAAGAGTAAAACCCCTCCACTTCATCATATAGGCCAATCATTAAACCTACTCCTACTGACTCAACTCATCTGCCTAAAGATTCTACCGATGAAAGTTTTAAAAATAATAAGTAACTTGTTTTAAAATTCATAAAAAGGTTCATATGAAAAATTAGTGTCAAGTTCAAACCTTTATTCTAGAAGAGAATGAAAATCCTATAGATGAAGATATGAAGGAAGTGTATGACGACACACCTCTTTCTAATGATGATGTAGAGTTTAATAACAACCCTCCATTTCATGTAATGAGATGTTTAATTATTACTAAAAATTAAACAGATGATTGGAGAAGAAAGAACATTTTTAAAATGTATGTTATTCACAATGAAAGAAGTTGTAGGTTGATTATAGATGGAGGAAGTACCTAGAGTCAATCTCATAATTGAACCACACACCGAACTTTTTTATGTAAGCAGGGTCAACCATACATCTCTACCTATTCAAGTAGCTGGCTTGTTTTTATAAGATTAATAGTTATGAAGACCAAATATGATATGATGTCTTCCCATGGACATTGCAATCATATTGTTAGGTATACCTTAGTTGTATGACTTAAATGTGACCCACTATGGTAAGAAAATGCTTATATCTTCAAACATAATAATAAGCCCATTAAACTCATTCATGTTAAAATTATGGGGAAGAACCATAACATATCTTAAAACCAACTCTAATTAACAACCCAACCCCACTTTAAGGAAATGTGCCAAGCTTCAATTAATAGTCCTAAGAATCATTATTAGTAAAAATAACTTTGTCATTTCTTATCTCAATTCTAACAACCCTTGTTTGTTTACTTGATTAACTTCAAAAATAAAGACTACTGGATTTGGAAACATAAAGAAGTAATTTTTTAATTTGACCACTGTAATCTTGCTGCATGTGAGATATATAACATTTGATTCTAATGTGATACATATACTTGTTGCAGTATCATCCCTGGATGAATTGCCATATAGGTTATCCCCACTTAGGTCCATCCAACATGCTTTTAATTTTTTTTCTAGTTTCAAAACTTCACAACCTTCCTCATTATAAGATGAATCCCATTAAGCATGTTGAGCTAAGGAGAAGGATTGAGGATTTACTTAAGAAAGGGTTTGCTCAAGAAAACCTTAGTCCTTGTGCAGTCCTTGCATTGTTAGCCCTTAATAAAGATGACACATGAAGAATGTGTGTTGATAGTTGAACTATTAATAAAATCATTATTATGTATAAATTTATTTTTCATTGACAAGATGGCATGTTAGACTTAATCTCAGGGGAAAATATTTTCTCTAAAACTGTTTAGAGGAGTGGTTACCATCAAATTAGGATTTGATCAGGCAATGAATTAAAAACTACATTTAAGACTCGGGATGAACTCAATGAATAGTTGGCCATGACTTTTGGGCAATCAGATGCTCTAAGCACTTTCTTGCGACTAGTAAATATTATATTCAAACCATGTATTGGAAACTTTTTTGTTGTATTTTTTGATGATGTCTTGATTTTTTAGCTCAATTGAGATAGATCATTTAAAGCACCTAAGAAAAGTCTTTGAAACCCTTAAATAAGAATAATTATACTTTAATTTAAATAAGTCTTCCTTCTTACAATTCAAGGTGATTTTTCCAAGATTCATTATTTTTAATTCTAGAATCAAACTCCCTTCCAAAGTTCAAGAAATCTTATATTGTCCCCCACCTAAGAGTTTCATGAAAGTATGAAGTTTTCATGGTATAACTACTTTTTATAAAAGATTCATTAATGATTTTAATAGTGTTATTGCCCTAATCATTGATATTTTTAAATTATAGAAACTTTTTAGAACTACTTTAACATAAAAGACCTTAGATTACATTAAGATTTTGATGATATGTACCCCTACCTTAGGCTACCTGACTTTTCTAAAGCATTCTAAGTAACTTGTGATGCTGTTAAAATTGGAATTGGTGGAATCTTAATTCAATAAAATGATCAAGCTGCTTTTTTATTGAGAAATTGAATGAGGCAAAATAATGATACTCCACTTATAACAAAGAAATTTAATATTTAAATTTCAATTTTAGTTTCTAAAGAAAATAAACTTTTGAATTTGGAGGATTGTACTGATCATAAAAAAATAATAAATTAGGAAGGTGGTTAGTATCTTGCTCCATTAATGACTTCCTATCATTCCCTTCAAAATTTCCTCATCATTTTTAAAAATTTTTATTATTGTAATTCTTATAAATATAGCTGATATGAAATGATTTTTTTTAAAGTTGTTGATAAAAATTGGAGTGAAAATTTTCTATCATTAGTTAGTGCTTGGTTATTTCAAGCGTACGCCACTTCTTTGGTGAGATTATACAGTTTTCTTTAAATTATTTTCTAATTTCATTTGTAATTATCTTAACTCATCCCTAAAGCCCTATTAAAATCCTCTCAACACTCTTAAAACTCTAATATGCCATCCTCTACTCAACCCAACCACAAAAGCACATTAAAGATCCACTTAGAAGCTTGGCTAAGCTAGATATGACTAGATCTTAATTTTGTAATCACCCATGAACACCCACATAAACTCTTCCAAAATTTATCATCTACTCCAGATCATAACTTCACATTCTAAGGCAACTGTCCATATGAATATCCAACAATTTACTTAACTTTAAACCACTTCCTTAAGAGATCTTCAAAAATAGCCCAAATTAGCATAATTTGAACCAGTCTAAACATTCCAATTACTATGCTCCTTTAAAATTCCATCAAAGACTCCAAATCTTATATTTAGATGCTAAAGTAAAGAATAGATAAATTTACTATCTTTAAATCTCCCACCACTTTTAATAGTTGTTGGAGAATTATAAGAATTTTTTATTTGAATAGAACATTATGTTGGATTTCTCCCCACAATGGTTCGAGATATCATATTCACCACTTTTATCCACCATCACAAGCAGTAGGAAGATTAGAGAAGACCAAACCATGTTACTGTTTGTCAACTTCTGTGATTATTTAAGATATATTAAATCCCAATTTAGTAAATTTGAATTTTATAAATGCTGAAATTGTTAAATCCTAAATACTGTGGCAATGGATTTAGCAAATTATTTAAAAATATTTGACAACTTCTAATTGATTTAAAAGTTAGTTAGATTTGTTAGAATACAAAAATATAATTAAACTTTTCTTTCATTACTATGATAAAAATTTATTATCATTATCATTTAATTAAAGTACTAAGAATTTAATTATTTGATGTTTACAAATTAATTATTGATTAGCTATTTACTTAGGATGAAACATTTTCTTATTAATTAGATTAATAACTTTGTTAAGAAAAATTTTTTTAGTTATTTATGCATTAGGTTAGATTATTGATAATATTAATGTAATTTAATTTCTAGATGTAAATATGTTAGTTATAATATAAATTTAGTATTGCATATTAATAATATAATTAGTATTTCGAATTAAAAAAATTAATTTTTATTGTTAATTTTGATAATTAATAAGAATTAGTTAAACTAATTGTTCAATAATAAGATTTTATTAAACTAATTATTTTTTAAAAATAGTTATCATAAATTAATAATTTATTATTTATTTATTCTTATAATAAATAATTATTTAAATTTTTATTTAATCAATTAAAATCTGATATATAATTTAAATTTTATTAATTAATTATGTAATTATTAATTTAATAATATAATAATTAAATTTAAATAAAATACTCAAAACCTATATTCCTCTTTCCCTCTCCTTCCCGAAGCCCACGCCTCCTTAATCTACCCTTTCGATCGTGATCGCCAAGAAGGCCGCTGAAACTCCCACTTTCTGTTCCTTCCCCTCCTCTCCGACCCGAAACGACGACGGAATCGTGGCCTACAAAGACCATCGAAACTCCCATCTCTGTCTTCCTTACGCTCCGCTCCTACCCAAAACCATTGAGGAATCCTTCGCGCAACCATTGAGTAAGTTTCACGAAATCATTGAGTAAGTTTCACGAAACCATTGAGTAAGTTACTTCCTCTTCGCGACTTCCTCTCTTCCCCTCTTCGTGCGTTCCCAGTCGATCGCCACTAAATTTCTCACAATAACGGTTTCCTTTTTGAATTTTCAGGAGTAAGAATATACCACGTCGGTGGAAAATCCTCACATTACCCAAAATTTTCGAATAGACTTGTATTTCATGTCTGCATTTGAGAAAAATGGTGATGAATCATATTCTTCTCGCTTCTCCTCTACAATCATTACAGACCCACAGGTACTCTCTTTACAACTCATCATTTTCTTTGATGGGTTTGGATCAAAACCACAGCCCGAAATCCTCTCTTTTGCATCGAATATGAACTTTCCTTATTTTGTTCTTCCAGGAATGTGTAGGCGAGAAGGAGCAAACATTGCCTTCTCAGGTATGCCCTCATCGGTTGACTTAATTTTGTTTATATCTTAGTTCTTTTACGTTTTTGTTTTGGGGTACGAGCAGGTGGCGTCTTTCCTGTGGGGGGAAGTGGTAGGGACGGCTCAGGTGTTCGAGAGATGGGTGGCTCTAGTGCGGAAGCGGAGTGGTAGATGCAAGCCATCGGGTTTTCCCCATCGATTGGCAAAGACCGAATCAATATCTGGAGGGTCCTTGATGGAACAGAAGCAGAGGTATTGTAGTCTTGGTTTGGTTCATGGATCTGTTGGGAATTTTTTCTCGTTTTTCTTAAGATTCTTGATGAAATATGGTTGTGTTTAGCACCTGTTTGACTATGTGAACTCGCCCTCAGGTTTAGGGTCTGAAATTAATATTCTCAGGCATGGTGGATGCTGTAGAATTTGGCTTGCTTTTATGGATTTAAATTGAAACATGGAATCAGATACATTATTGATATTTTTTTATCTTCGAACTAATGTGGCTATTATTCCTTAGGCAGATTGGTTTACAAATGCATATGTTAATATGGTGCATCCGCACCTTTCTATTGCAATGTTGGGAACTAGGTACTCTAGGAACTACCTTTTTATCTCAGGGTTGTAGAAGTTTGGGTTCACTATTGTGCAACATCTCACTGGAAAAGAGTAATGGATTAAGTATGTGTTTTAATAAATTGGATGTCATGAATGGGAATTTTCACTCTTGAATATATCACCTGTTTTCCTGCTAAAGGGGCCTATTTGGTTGTAAGTAAGTGAGAGGAAGTGAAATTTTTTCACTTCTGCAAGTGGAAGTTGGGATAATCTATTTCTTACAAAAGTTTTTGGTTGATTATGTGGACAGTGATAGTTTCTATCAGCTATTACTATTACTTGATTGTGCAAGAAGTGAATTAATCCATTAATTCAGTTAGGTTTACCTGGCTTTTCTCTCTCTCTTTTCCCCCTCACACCCGCACATTATGTGTGTGCACTTGTAATTTTATGCTTTTGGAGGAGGACAAGGTTATCAAATCTAATCACTTTTGAACAATGTTAGAGCTTGTAATATGGAACTCAATTAACTAAAAGTTTTATGTAGCACTTTTTCGGTAATAGTGATTTCCCTTTCTTTCCTATCAACCAAACAACCTACGTGATACGAATAAAGTTTAAATTGTAAGAATTAAGCTATGTTAGGATGATAACAATGGACAAAAGCATGGAGATGGAGGATTTATCGTCTCAAATACGCAAACTTAGTGACATATAGGATTTATGTAGTTCCAACTTTTTAGCAATTGAAGCCCACACCTATTATATTAGACGATCAACACTTAAAGCCAACACCTACTATTATATTAGAATGTCAAAATTGAGAATCAACGCATCTTGATGTTGTGGTATATTTAATTAAAATGATCGACGACGAAGTGAAAAAATAGTACGATAAAATTCACACCAAAAGAACACACAAATTTACGCGGTTCGACAAATTGCCTGCATCCACGAAGTTTTAGAAGATTTTACTAATTGAGGAAATTACATCAGTCTATCTCTTCGACAATTACAAGAGAAACTTTTCTCTTTCTCACTTCTTCACTATTCTCTCTCTACACCGAGATACACCGAAGATGAAGAAGAAATATGTACTAGAGAAAGAACTTATTTCTCTTCTGCCAAAAACCACCAAGAAGAAATCAAGAACAACCTTCTTCCACTATTTTCTTCTTCCTTTAGCCAAGCATGCAAAATAACTAAGAGAAAGCACCTTATGAAAAATACCTGTTCCTACCTTCTGCTTCCCGTAAGCCTCAAGAAGAATCCAAGCGAATCTCCTTTCGTGTTTTGCGAACTGAAGGAGGCGCGGGTTGTTTTGCGAATTGAAGGCTTTTCTGTTTCGAGAGAGAGAGACGGGAGATGGGGAGCTTTCTATTCATGAAATTCTTCTAAGGGAATGAAGCGGATCGAGCGGTTC